AAATATATATTTTCCAACCATTGCACTTCACAAAAGGAGCTGTTCATCTACTTAAAATATAGGTGACAAGTACAAAAGGCATTTGGCATTGTAAAGCAGGCCAAATCTTCAGGAGATCGAAGATATATGGTATGCAACCGAGGCCCAGCTTCAATCTGCTTCTACGCTGTAAATTCCAATTACATCATGCCGCCTTGTTTAAATACCGTGAAACCTGGCTCATGCCCTAAGTATGTTTTATATATTGCCACATCCATTTGAAATAGATGGGCAATGTGTTTTACGGCACATGTGCAAATATCTCCGTATTTTTCCATCTGGGGGTTTATGGGATCTTTCAGAAAATTAATAATGGGGCTCGGAGGAAATGTTCGACTCGGAGGCAGTAGCGGAGATTTACGGCCTTCCTGGTGGATGCCAGGGAAAAGTCTGAGAGCACCCGGAGCAGACAAAGGCCCGCGGTTTCGCCAGGCGCTCCCGGAGAGCTAATTTGGCTTAACGGACGGAGGAGCCGGGGAATTTCCCCGTGTGATCCAGCAGGTTGCTGGAGAGGGATTTCTCGGGAGGCACTGAGAGGCTGGGGGTGGGAGGCAGGGACCCAGCCCTCAGCCCCCGGGCACAGCACGTGGCTGGGCTGTGCTGCTCCGGAGGAGGGCTCCGTGGGCAGGAACCCACCCCAGGCACCCCACAGCTCTGCGGGGATCCCCCAGATTCCCCAGGATGCTGCACGTGCCGCTCTGAAACCTCAGCTTTCCTCCGAGCACCCTTCTCCCAGCCTCCCCGGCACCAGGCGCGCTCTGGGAGTGCTGCACCTCCCCGGCCCTCGCGATAAACAAAAGCCGCTTATTTCCCCTTGCGTGGGTCCTCTGCGGGGGAAGCAGTGGGTGGTGTTTATTTGGACAGCAGAGAGGCCTGTTCCCCCAGCTTGCTGGGTAGTGCGCGCTGTCCAAGATGAAAACATCGGCCGTTTATTTGAGTCTCGCGCTGGCTGTGTAAATACAGGGCTCGCTTCGGCAGATGCCGGCTGGCGGCTCTGCGGAGCGGGGCTGCTCCTCGCATCCCCCTGGGCAAGCAGGGCCACCCGGCCCTACACCCTACATGGACACAGGGCAGGAGAGAGCTGGGGACGGCCGTGGCCGTGCTGTAGGGTCAGAGCTGTGTAGGGCCGGGGGTGAGGAGCATCCCGCTTCCAACATCCCGGAGCTGGCAGAGCGGGGAGCTGCCTGCAGGTCTGTCTGCAACCACGCCACCCTTTTTGGGGTGGCCCTGTCCCTGGGGACCATGGGGACTGCTCGTCTCCTTTGCCTTGTCCTCCCTGCTGCAGCCGAGGTGGGAAGCCCCAGCAGGGGGGAGCCGGCGGGTTTCTCCAGATGGTGCCCCGCTGACCCCAGCCGTTCCCCGTCTTTGGCTCTTCCTTAGAAAAACACAGCGCAGGCCAGCTCATCGATTAATCGTTTCCTCATGTTCCCCCCGCGCGGATGCCGTGGGAAGCTGCCTCCCCATGCCCTGCCTGGAGGGGGGCTCCCCCTTTTTGGGGTTTGCTTCCTGGGGCGGCTGCGCTGCTGCTTGGGGATGGCGCAGGGCGAGCTGCTGCCTGGCCGGGGCAAGGCAGCTGGGTGCCCCGTGCTCAGCCACTGAACTGCACCCTAAAAAGGATGGCTTGGATGGACAAATTGGTGAACAGATGCATGAATGGCATGGTGGTTAATTCAGATGGAATAAATGCCCTGAAAGCTTGTAAAAGTGCCCCGTGGAGCACAGCACCTTCCTCACCGCTCGCCACCCACTCTTTGCGCTGCTGGCAGTGGCTGGAGCTGCTTGGGGGGCACATCCTGCCCTGGTCCCCTCCAGCAGTGTGTGGACACCCAGAGGTGTGCTCAGGAGGCAAAATCGGGGAGGTCGATGCGGCTTGTGGAGGCCACAAAACATCGAGTAAGAGCAGTGCTTGGTGAGGGGGGACACACAAAGCGCTTAGTGCCAGGGGCAGGGCAGAGCGCGCCCGCGGCACCGTGAGCCACGTGCACTTGTCGCGGTGCCACGGGAGCCCAGCCACCCCTGTGGGTGCTCAGCAAGGGGCTGAGCGATGGCCTCACCCCTGTTCAGACACACAGCCCCGGGTGAGATGCTCTGTGCGTGCATCCGTGCGTCCATCCGTCCGTCTGTCCACTGCGGCTGGGGCTCAGCTGCCAGCACTCACGCGATCTCTTGTGACTGGAGCTGGCTGGAGAATATGGAAAAAAAAAAAAAAGAGCATCGAATTTTCTCGTAGTATTCTCACATTTTGCTTCTTTCCTTGGCCAAATTCCGGGTTTCCATGAAAAAAATGTCCATCAGTGTTTTGAAATGAGAAAAATTTCAACCAGCTGCAAAATCCAGTCCCAGAGCAGGGGAAATCTTGCAGACTTGGCCTCTCCTGGAGACGGTTTGCCCCAGCTGACTGCAGCAGGCTGGGAGAAGCCCAGGAGTCTGCTCGAAGAAGCGCTCGTGAGAAAGGTGCTGGGCCGCCTTGGCGCTGGCTGCATTTGCAGATCTTTTACTGAATTCATTTTTTTTTCTTCAAGAACTGTTTTGGAAAACACGTATCTTCATTCCGGAGAGGCAGGTGCCCACTGCAGTATCCCTCGCCCAGGCAAAGCAGGTGGCTGCTGGCTCTGTCCAGCACGGTTTCCCCCGCTGCCACCCCAATCCCCTGGCCCAAGCCACCTCCTTTTTCTGCCCCAGACGGAGCCACCCCAGCCCCGTCCTGCACCGATGCAGCTGGTGTGAGCCAGCCTGCCCTCGTGGCAGCACGGCTGGGGAGGCAGCGCCTCGCTTGACTGCTAATTACCCTTTTTCTCCCCCCCCCCCCAAAAAAAAAAGCAGTTAATCCTACTGGAAATTTGGCTCGATTGTTCTTTGTTTTAACTGTGGCTTGGTTTAAATATTACCATCACGAACAGCAATGAAATAATTACATAAACCATTAACGATTATATAAAAACAATACCTAAATAAAATAAACAGCAAGCGATATCATTAGCGTTCCCGCTTTCCTCAATTACGGCTCTTGGAGTAAAGGAGAGGAAGACGGAGCAACATGCAAAGAGTTTTCCCAGCTGCTTCACCCCCGGAGATGCAAAGCCCTTCGGGTTTGGGGTAATTCCAGATGCTTGAGCTGCCGGAGGATTGGAGGCGGGTGGGTGGGTGGGGGGCTTGGGGAGAGCCCCCTCCCTGCCCTGTGAGCTCAGAGAGCAGGAACGCACCGGTGGGGGCTGCTGTCCCCTCTGGTGACCCAGTCCTGGTGACGCGGGGGAGCTTTTTGGGGCCACTTGTGCACATGGGGCCAGGAGCCATGGGGCCTTGGTGCCCCGCGGTGTGCCCGCTCCAGGGGCACGTGAAGCAGGGACAAGGCTCGGGCAGCTCTTGAGGAACCTGGGGGTCAGCACAGCCCCGACCTGCAGGGCTGGGTTAGGGGCACAGGGACACCACAAACCCCTTGGCTCCACAGATCCTACAGAGAAGGCACAGAATTAGGTGGTTGGTGCTTATTAGACTGGTGTTATTTAAATAACTGCAGTAAAATAATGAAAACCAAACATACGAGTCTTGTGTATGTTATGCTGTTGTCCGTCATCGTTGGCTTTTCTTTGTACATATTACACATGGGTTTCATAGGGGCCCCAGGTGGTTACCACACCACACATCTCAGCAGCCCCAAAAGGCCAGCAGAGCCCCCCAAGCCTGCACGGGGGTCTCAGCAGGACCCCATCAGCCTCCTGGGTCTGCCCCATCCATTCACGGGCTTGAATTATGAACCAGGTGGAAATGGGGGACAAAAAAAATTACGTGGCCATGTGAGGGTTTACACGCACACCTCAAAGCAGCCCTGGGCAGTGCTGCTGCTCCCCAAGCACCCACTGGATCCTGACCTGGGGATACCTCCAGCCACAGCCGGTGCCACCGGCAGCACCGAAGTGGTTTTGGGATGCGTGGTGCAGAGCCCAGCAGGACACACACACGAGCTACCCTGGCAGATGTCCCATTTGGTCACCACTGGATGCGGTGGATGAATGGAGGGAAGAGCTGGCTGGGTAGATAAATCCCAAACTGCAGCCACCAGAGCAAAATCCTCACTTTGCTTTGAGAACTGACTCCGTGGGAAGAGGATTCAGGTGCCAAGAGAAGCCTCGGAGCCTCCTGCCCTGCTGGATGTGCAGAGGGGGTTTTGGGGAGCATGAGCACTTCATGCCTCTCCTGAGGGCTGTGTGGGCTTGGAGGATGCATGGCCATGGAAGAGAGGACCCAAGCAGTCCCCAGAGCACCCTAGGGTGATGCTGAGCCCTGTCTGGGGCTGTATGGGTGACCCCGACAGGAGTCCCACAAAGCACAACCAGGGGTGCCCCAGCCTGGGCAGCAGCTCTGCTTCCAGGGCTCCTTGGCACAAGCAGTACCGTGAGGAAGAGGAGGGCTGGGTGGCCCATGGAGTTCAAGGGACATCTTGTGGCAGAGACTGATGGCGTGTGACAACCAGAACAAGTGGTACCAGGGACAGGAGGGTCCTCTCGGCTCACCCAGAGCAGGGAAGGAGGCTCTGTGCCAGGAGCATGGCACAGGGCCGGACCACGCAAGCCCAGGTGGTCCCACACACCCTCTGCCTCTCTGCTGTCCCAGCTGTGGTTGTGCTCTGTGAGACCACCCCAGCATCCAGGGAACCTGAAAGACGGCCCTGCTGGGGGGAAAGCTGGTCCTGAGCATCTCTGAAAACCCACTGTTAACATCTCCAGCAGCTTCAGCAAGTGCCTACATCCTTACTCCCCAAACTCCCCTGTCCTGACTACCTCTGGCCTATGCCTGTCTCATCTGCTGCAGGCTCCATGGGACTCATCCCTGGGACGGGGAGTTTGCTCACCATATGGTAACTCTCAGAAGTGTGAAACATCCTCCTAACACGTTGGAATATTGCAGTGTGGGCTGAGCCAGTCAGTGATCCTAAACAAGCAAGGCAAGGTCTGCAGTGAACCTATTATTTCCACGCATGTTTATTATGCCAAGACCACTACAACCTCGACATGGGAAGAAACTGATGTCTGTTTGAACTGGAGACTAATACAGTATGAAGAAGGAATAACAGCTTATTGAGGTCGGACAGCAAAAGCTCTTCTCTCTTCCTGCTGCTCTGCCTCGCACACCTCCTCCGCCAGCCCTGGCCACAGCCTTGCTTCCACACACAGTCAGGCCCTCGGGGATGCACACCGAGGTTGGCAGTCTCTTGGCGTCAACTCAACAGAAATGGGTGGAATTAGCCCGGTTGGTACCGGCTGAGGACGTGTGTCCACAGACCTGGGTGGTGCTCGGTCCAGATGCTGGCTCTGGGCAGCCTGTCCTCTCCGCCCTGGGTCCTGCTGGCAGGGCAGGTGATGGGCAAGCTGAGCGTCTCCAGGTCATTCATTTTGGGCCACCAGGAGAGGCAATGTCTGTGCCCTGCTCCCCAGTGAGCTCAGCTTTGTGGGACTTTTGCCACCAACCCTCCGACAGGGCTGTCTTGCCCCAGGGCACTGCAGCTTTGCATCAGTCCTGCCCCGGGCGGTAGCACCGGTCCGTGTAAACCTGAGGTCCTGGAGAATCAGACCTTGAGAAAAGTCCTCCCGGTGGAGCTCCTGGGGCTGGCCTCTGCGGTGTGGGGTGGTCTTCACCCGCTCAGTCCATACGTGCACCGGGATGATGGAGCAGTCTGGCCTCCCAGTGCTGCTGCGCAAGGAAAGGGGCATGGAGAGCTGGCAGCAGAGCATTTCCAGCGAGCAAGGAAGAGGCAGGCCCTGGGCACCGGAGGAGGGAGAGCCACGAGCTCAGACAGCAACACCTGTCAGAAGATTCTTTTCAAGGCAAAAAAAAGGACAGGAGGGCGAGGAACAGCATGCCCGGAGCAAGGAACCAACCTCTTCAAGCTCCCGCAGGCAACAGGCACCTGTGCGACCCCCCTCCGCTTTGCTCCTCGTTAAAGGTTTGTCATTACTGCATTACTTTTAATACACCCTTAGAGAAGAAGACCCACACACACACACCCACGCGTGCACACGCACACCCAAAGGGGACCGTTGCCAAAATATACACTATAGACAGAAGAGTCCGTTCACACTATATATATGTACAGCGTCTCTGAGCGCAGCCCGGCAGTGCGGAGCCAGGATGGGGCTGGGGCTGGGGCTCGGGGCGGGCAGCAAACCCTCAGGGCTTCACGCACTTCCCTTTCTTCTCCCGCCGCTGCAGTTTCCGAAGGCGGCGGGTCCAGGCGTCCCGCCACTGGATGACCAGGCTGTTCTTGTCGGCCATCAGTCCCGGCCGGTCGGTGGAGTTTTCGCTGATCCCCATCACCAGGTACTTCTTGCTGATCTGGATCTTGGGGCATTTGCAGGACAGGTCCTTCAGGTGGATCCAGAGGAAGTTGTCGCCGCGTTTGACCCGCTCGTCGCGGCACTTGTAGACGGAGAGGATGTTGATGGTGAACTTGGCCCAGTTGGCCACCGTCTCCATCTCCAAGATGTTCACTTGGACCACTGAGGGGACAGAGGGAGAGGCAGGGTGACAAGGATGCGCCGCCTGGGGAGAGGGGGGAGGCTGCAAGCCCCTGATGGAGCTGGGGAGCAGGAGGGGGCCCTTACCGTAGTCCTTCTTGCAGTACTTTTTCATGTTAATCTTGTAGTTGCCTTTGGCTGGTTTGCAGTAGGAGTCGCAGTCTGCAGAGGAGAAGCAGAGGGGTAAGGGTGAGGGTGTGCAGTGCAGCACCACGCACGAGGTCCTGTCCCACCACGAGGAAGGGGCTGTGGGGGTTCCCCAAGACTTTGAGCCAGCCCTGGGACTCTGCTAACAGGGGAGGGGGTTCCCTGAGCCTCACTGCAGCCCCACAGCTCACAGGGACTGGGGAGGGCCCCGCTGAAGCCCCCATGGGCAGCCCCATTGAGACCTGCTTTTTGTGGGACCCCAAAGCCCCCAGAAGGATTTGGGGACAGGGGGAGCCAGCAGGCAAGGTCGGTGCCAGCTGCCCTCGGACTGACCGGGCACGGCAGGGAAGGACACCACGCTGTCTTCCTGTCCTCCACAGGAGCAGAGAGCATCCCTCCCTCCCCGCAGCATCCCTTCCTGCTGCTCCCCAGGCTCCAGGAGAGGCTCATGTCCTCATGGAGGCTTTTTCTTTTTTTTTTTTTTTTTTTTTTTGTGCATTTCTAAAGGCCCCAGATTTGCATCTCAAGCAGAGGGAGGGCAGGCCAGGAATGCCTCTCTCCTTCTCCCCAAAGGCTTTGATCCAACAATCGCCCGAAGCAGCCCAGTTCTCCTCCTTTCTTCGCCCCTGCCATCTTCCTTTGAACATCTCAATTTGTCTCTTTCCAAATGGCATGTTTTTTTCTAAGCCCATCTTTCTTCCTTTCTCTCCCAGGTTCTCTGTCCGGCTTGGCAGAGCCGGCCCCAGCCCCGGGACGAGCGGGCAGCCTCTGAGCTCTCTTTGTCTGCGGGTTGCCACAGCGATGGCTCGGGATGGAGGCGGGGGGACAGGGGGGGAAACAGCAGCACCCGGTGCCAAGGGCAGGAAGGGGAAAGAGGGAAGAAAGAAGCCCAGGAGCACAAACTCGTCCCGAGCTCTGCTGCTCCCCTTTCTGCCCGGCTCCCTTTCACTGGGGACTTTGTGCCGCCTGCTCCAAATTTGTCAGCGATAGAAGGGGCTCAGCACGGAGCTGATTCCTGGCAGAGGGGGGGGGCTCAGCCTTGCTTTTCGGCTCAGGCTCCACTGCCAAGCATGTCACCACGTCACCCATGCTGCATCGCCCCGCGGCTGGGCTGGCACCGCCACCCTGTCTCTGTCCCCATCCCCATCTCTGTCCCCATCCCGGCAGGTTACCCCAATCCCCAGCACCATGGGTGCAGAGAATTGCCAGGGACCACCTGCCCTCTAGAGCTGAGCCTTTCAGTACCAGCATGACTTTTTAATGCCCCGAGCTATAAAGTCATCTGGGGGGAGGAAGGGGGGCAGAAAAGACATTTTGCAGATTGGAGATTTTTTTTTTTTTTGGAAGAAATCAGAAGGGCTCCAAGGGAAAAGAGGGGGACATAAAAAAAAAAAAAAAAGAAAAAAAAAAAGGAAGGAGGAGCAGCAGGAGTGATTAATAGCAGCATTCTTCTTGCAGCTCGACAGAGTGCCCGGAGTCGTGGCCACATCCCTGCCCGCGAGCCCAGCGCGGGGACAGAGCTGGGGCCATGGGTGGCTGTGGGGACAGACCCCGGGGGCACGGCACGCCGCGGCCGGCCGCACGCAGCATCTTCAGAGAGGGGCCACGCTTTGAGGTGCCTCTGAAGAGAAAACCCCGCTGGGGGCCTGCTTTCAGCTCCTTGCAAATCTGCCTAGAGCTGCCCGAGCCAAGCTGCGTTTTCGCAAGGACACGCAGGACCATATGGGCTCGCCGTCCCCCCTGCTGCTGGAGACGGGGCTGGGAGCCGAGCCACGGCAGCAGCCAGCCAGCGCCACACAATGCAGGGCCAGGCGGCGAAAGCAGGCGGCCGCGGGGCACGGAAACCCCACTGGGGCCAGCCCCGGCCACGGCCCTGCCTCGGGTCCCCAGCTCCTGGGCAGAGGAGGGTGGCAGGAACCGGAGCTGGCAGCACCCAGCAGCAGGACGGGGGCTGGATCGGTCCTGAGCCGAGCTCAGGGGGTTGGTGATGGAGATGTGGGAGGGGGTGATGGGGCGCTGGGGGGTGATGAGCTGTAGGACAGCCTTGGCCAACCTGCCAGCCCCCCCCCAAGCCCTCCCCTGGCTCTGTGCGCAGGAACAAAGGAGAGGAATGAAAGAGGAAAAACAATAACTGCCCTGGGCTCCCGCGCATGATTAACATCATAAAACTGTGATTCTGAAGAGCCGGAGACGGTATGTGAAATTAACGATTTGGGATTGTTTGGGGACATTTAACCTCAGCTTTAGGCTGGGGAATATTTCTCAAAGATAAAACCAATTTCTGCTCAATTTATGTTGGGAAAAAAAAACCTGAGAAGACCAAGTAACTCGAGGCATTTGCTCCCCTTCCTTGCCTCTGCACACAGAATTCCCTTACCACCCGTGGGCTGGGTGCAGGGGACAGAAATGACCGTGCCAGGGGTGCCGGGTAGGGTCTCAGCCCCACACCCCTCACCAGGACAAGACCATGGACCACGGTGAGCCCCATCCTCCCATTCCCCATGGGGATACCCACTACCAGGGCATGGGTTGCTGCTCTTTCCACTGCGTGCTCTCCACAATGGCAAAACTGCCAGGAGAAGCTGCTAGCAGAGGTTCTCCTGCTACTGCAGTTAGTGGAGATGCTGCTTTCACGAGCATCTCCCTTGTCCCAGAGCATCCCTCACCTTCCCATCTCCCCTACAGCCCTCCCCTATGTGGTGTTACACGTGCTAAAAAGATGCAAAAAGATCCAGTTTAACCCCAAAAGCTGCCCTAAGCAGCCTAAGCAGCCAGACCTCCCCTCCCAGCCGCCCTCCTGCCCACCTCTCTGCCATGCCCAGGGATTACAGAGGGTCTGGGGGTATCAGAGGCCATGAACGTGTTCCCACACCCCTTGAGATGCTGCTGCAGCCCTAGGATGTGCCAATTCCCCGTTGAGGTACCGCTGCAGCCCTGGGACAGCCCCAGCCCCAGCCGGCAACGTGACCCACACCCCATCCCATCCCACGCCTGCGCGGGGGGAGCGCAGGAGAGGCGGTAGGTTTGCACATCTGGTTTACTTCGCCTCGCCTTGAAAAAAGAAGGAATATTTTGTTTTAAGAGAGATGTAACTTAATTAGGTGTTACGGCTACAAATCTTTTACTGCTGACTTTGAATTCCTTTAAAGACCTGTTTTGCGCTCCACTAGTTTTGTTAATTCTGCTAACGGGGACCGAGATTTTTATTTTTTTATTTTTTTTCTCTAAGTGGAAAATATTTTAGAATAATAACAATAAAAATTACAAGAAATGGACGCGGGACGTTTTGCTGCCGAGCGAGTCCGCGCTTGGGCAGGGATCAAAGCCGGACCTCAGCGGCTGCGAGGGCCCGGGGAATGCGATGCAGGGGATGGGACGACGACGCCAGCGCAAAGCCCAGATGCGAGCGGGGCCAGCAGCCGGTGGGGGGGAAGCACCTGAGCAGCAGCAGCCCCGAACAATGCCCCCCTGTTCCTGCGGGCGGCCGCAGCCTGGCACACCTGCTGCTGAGCATGGGAGGGGAGCGGGCTCCGGGGATCCCAGGGGGGCCAAAGAAGGGGGTGCGGGCAGCAGGCAGGGTGCGGGGTGTTGGGTGCATTGCTCTGGTCAGCCCCTGGATGGGTCTGATCCCCCTCAGCAGGTCCTGCAGGATCCAGGGTGGGTCCCTGGAGAAGGCTGGGGGCTAAGCAAGCTCCTTTGCGTTAAAGATATTTGAGCTAGAAGGCAGAAATCTTAAAACAACAGAGCCACAGATAAACCTACAGGCGGTTTAACACAGAGCTGCTCTGCTAAAACAAAGTAAATACCAGGGTCGCTCTCAGGTGGCATTTATTTTTATGCAGCTGGAAATATCAGGCACAATTCTAAGAATATTCCTACTTATACAGCACTGGAGGGGAGTCACCTTGATTAACTCTGCTCTAACTGTCACTCTCTGCTTGCAATAAAACTGTCCAAATCCCCTCCAATTTCCTTTTCCCAAAGCCCCTTCTCCAGTGTTCCCAGCTCCCAGTCAGGATCGCTGTGGCCAAAAAGCAAAAGAAGCCAGAGAACAGCCTTGACTTCACTTCCCTCCAGCCTCCATGCCAAAACCAGGGGAAAGGAAAGAGAAATGCCTGTGCCCTGCCCCTGGCCTTTCTGTGGGGGCTGAGTGCTGAGACCCCAAAGGTCCTGGGTGCACCTCCTGGTCCCTGCAGGAGCCAGGCACAGCCCTGCTGCTCACCACCCGAGGAGCAGATATGCCAGGGTGATGGGGGGATGGCTGGGCTGTGCAGGGGGTACTGGGGAAGGGGAGAAAACCCCGTTATTCCAGCTCAGACCTGGACAGCTTCTCCATGCCAGGACAGCACATGCCCCATGTCACCATGTCCCTAGGGAGACTTGGCATCCCATGCCTGGCATGGGGCTCCTGAGCCAGCCCACGGCCACTCCACGGGCATCCTCTCGACATCCTGCCCTCATATATTTATACACACTGATGAGGCCTCCCCTCAGTCTTCTCTTTTCTGGGCTAAACAGGCTCAGTTCTCACAGCCTGCCCTCATACGACAGCTGCTCCAGTCTCCTCATCATCTTCGCAGCCCTTTCCCTTCCCAGAAGGGACACAGAAACCCCTTCCCTGAGAAAGCCCTGGCAGGTCAGCTGGTCCCTTTCTAGAAAACCACAGGATCTCCAATTTTTTCACTAAAGGCAAGCTGGTGGCTGGCACAGTGGGTTTGGAGAGCTGTCTTGGCACTCTTGCTGGGTGTTTGGAGGGAGGAGAGGGGGCATAGGGGGATGTCCCTGGGAAGGGCTGGGGGCAGAGGGTGCAGAGCACTTACCTGCAGGTGCCTCTGTGCTGGTGACCAGGGAGGTTGGGTTGATGGCAGGGATCTCTGGAAGAGAAAAGGGGAAGATGTCTTAAAGAAAGGGGTCCCCAGCCCTGGGGGTCTAACCCAGGGCAGCTGCCCCCTCCCAGCTCAGCCCGGGGCAGCCCCTCTTGGGTGGGACCTGCCCTGCATGGGGCCTTCCAGCCCTGGCCACTTTGCTGAGGGACTTTGGGTCTGTCTGGAGCCAGGGAGGGCTCTGGGGATGAAACGCAGGCAAGAGCCACCCGTAAACACGGTGCAGAGGGGATTTGGTGGATCACCTCCGGGGAGCTCGCTCAGAGAAACAACAGATTGGGTGAGCCTGGCCTGAATATCACAGGATATAAAATACCCCTGGAGATACCCAAGCCAAGCTTAATAAACTGGGACAGGTTGAGACACTGACACTGCAACCCCAAAAGCCTTGAGATGCTGCTGTGGAGGGGACGGATAGTTTAACCCCTGCTGCCACCTCCAACAGTGCTAGTGGGTGCTGCAGGGAGGGACACCGTTCCTCTGCCCTTTGGGGTAGAAGCAGATCCACTGAAGTGCTTTTTGAAGTGCTTTTACGGTAGTTTCAGCACATTCAGGACCTGACCATGCCCAGCCGTGTGTGCAGATGGAAAGCACAAACCCCAGGGGATGGATCCAGCCACCCTGCCTCGGCCGGCACCCCAGCCCGATGGGGGACTCACTGATGCAGGGGGCCACGGGCGAGCGGCTCTGCTGGAAGCCCTTGGCGCAGCGGTTGCAGGTGAGGCCGGTCACGCCGTCCTTGCACGGGCACTGCCCCGTCGTCTGGTTGCAGGTCTTGCCGGCGGCACCAACAGGGTGGCAGTCGCAGGCTGGGTGGGAAGAAGGAGGAGAGGCTTTGGTTACACGGGAGGCAACGAGTGGCACAAGCCCAGGGCTCAGCTGTGGCCCCCTTGGGCAGCCACCAGGCCCCAAGCAGCCTCCCTGCCTCTGCTGAGCAGGATGGGCAGGGAACAGAGGCAGCACGGGGGAGGCAGTAGAAGGAGGGCAAGGGGTCCCCAGCTTGGTCTCCAGCCCCCATGGACAGTGGTGCAGGGCTGAGCTGTGGGGAGAGCCCACGGGGGTGAGGCCCTCCGAGCTGCTCCCCCATGGAGCTGAAGCAGCTTGGAGGTTCTGCACAGCCTTGGGCCTTGTTTTGGTGCCAGGATGGTGTGAAATGGGTCTTCTCAATGCTTCCCAAGCTCACGAGCCCCAACACCTGCCCTGTCTTCTGGAGGAGCCCAAACTGTTTGCTGGAGGACGCTGTCCCTACGACTTCCCACCACAGCCTCTCCAGGGGACAAGCCACACCTGACCCGGGTGGAAGCTCATTTTCCACCCTCAGGATGGATCTGAGGTGGCTCATGGTCACACCACAGGCTCATAAAGTGGGTGACAGACCCACCAGGGCTTGCCCACGAGGAGGGATGTGGGAAGGAGAAGACAACACTCAGTCGGGAGAGGAACTCCCATCTGCCAGCCCAGGGCTGGGCCTGGCTATGAGCTGGAGGAGGTTATCTTGGCCTCCATCAGTGTAAGAGTTGAACGTGATTCCAAAGCAAAACAAAAACATCTCCCCCCCGCCTGCCCCCGCAGCCCCTCGATGTTATCGTTTCCCTAATTTTCACCAGATGGGGCCGGTCACAGCACCGCGGCACGGCTCCCCGGCCTTCTCCTGCACGGTGAGAAACCAGAGCAAGCGGCCTCTAATGGGGACCAGATGCCGCGCTTCTTATCAGATCCTGGCTGGGGCTGGAAACGGACGTGTTTCTGACAAGGATATTTTGGGGGCTCAGCTGTGATAACAAATGGCAGCGAGCGAGAGGGCCTCGGCGTGGCGTGGGGAACACAGGGCCTTTCTTCAGCCACAGCCTGGGCTCCTGCCGGGGCAGCCGGAGCCACCAGCACCTCCACGGGTGCCGCGGGCCTGTCCAGCTCTGGGGCAGACACCTTGTCAGCCCCGCGGGGTGAGATGCAAAGCCAGCAGCAAAGTGCTGGGGCCAGGCCGTGGTGCTTGGCAGCTCCCCGTTGCTCGCACGCAGCCTGCAGGTTCCTCCATGCTGGCTCTGCAGGGTCTCGGAGGACGCAGGTGGCCTTGACGAGCTGGCAGGTGTGGCTGCTCCTGGAGAACGGCCACCACTTTGTCTCTCTTCAGCCAGCAGAGGCTTGAATATCTGTCAGCGAGGCTGGGCACGGGGCGCCGACTTCTCTCACCAGCACCTGGCACAGCCCCGCTGCCCGAGAAGGGCCGTGGCTGCCAGGTGAGCGTGGGCATTGCCGCAGGCAGCACGGTTCTGCCGTGCACACAGAGAGAGACGGTCCGTGCCCTAGAAAATTTACGGCCCAAGGCATGTGTCCAGCAAGGATTTATGTAAGTGCTTAGCTTCACACGTTGTGGATAATCTCCCCGGCTTCGGCAGTGTATTCCCGGTGTAAAGTTTAAGTACATCCATAAATCTCAGCTCAATCAGGATCCAATTCATCTAGTGGGATCCTCCTCGTGCTGTGAGGAGGCTTCCGATGACTTGGCCTTTTACCTGGATCAGCAATCAAGCCAGCTTCGTGCATCCCATGACCACAGGAGACGGCTCTGTCCCAGAAGATTCCTTTGGGAGATGAGTTTTGCCGGACAAGCCCAGGCTCTGGCCCTCGCTGTGCCCCCACCCCACCACTTCCCGTGGTCCCATGAGGGCTGACTGCTGCTTCCAGCTATGGGGCAGCCCCGTCCCCATCCTGTGCTGCTGGCTTTGTGCCTGCTGCCCACGCAGGGACCGTGCTGGGTGCCAGGATCCAGCCCATGGTATTGAATGGCAGAGGGAGTCACTAGCCTAGGGCTTAAGTCATTGAGCTCTATTTGCCAGAAAGCATGTCTTGCACCTAATATTGCGGGTATTTTTGCTTCTTAAGGCTTAGCTGCTGCTGCTTCACCGGTTTTCATTGGAGAAAGCTCACATTTTACAGCTTTGTTTAAATTACGGGGATTAATGCACAGCCATTCTTTATTTGACTTTTCAATTACCACCGCTGGATTAATCCCGCAGGTTCTGTGTTTTCCATCCTCCCAGCTTTTCTGCGTGGCGGCACCCAGCAGTGAGGCTGGCTGCTGGCGGCTGGTGGCCGGAGCGATGCTCGCCCCTGCTCGCCCCCAGCTCGCTGGCCGGGGGCCAAGAGCTCCACTTGTGTGCTGTGGGGGGTGCAGGGGTGTGAAATCTGAAAGCTGAATGTTTTTGTGCCCATCTTCAAAACCTGGGCAGACATTGCATCCTAGCAGAGACAAACTGTTTGGACAGTTATTTAACAAAACCATTTGGGTTTGTTGAAATCTATTATAATGGTTACTGGTCCCTGGGCTAGCATTGCAAGATCTGAATATGAGCTGAGCTTCATTGCAATGTTTTCTTTCACTGGGCTGCCCAGCTGCTGCCCTGGACCAGCACGGCAGTGCATGTGGAGACCTTTGCTCAAAGCCCTGGGCTGCAAGGAACAGCCTCCTCGCAGCCTCCAGCTCTGCGTGTGCTTTCCAGATCTGATCTCCTTGTTTTTCCTTCTCTCCCTTTCCTTCGCAGAAGGCTGGCTACCTTGAGCTGCAGGTACACAACGCATCTTTGGCAAAAATGAGCCCAAACCATCCTGTCGCAGCTCCACTGCGCGGGGCTGGCAGACCCCGGAGGATACAGGATCTGTGCCAAGGAGCTCCTGATCCACACCAATCCACTCCTGCATTAGCACGAGGAACGGGGGGAAATGTTCTCTGCCTTGCAGGGGAGGGACAGTCGGAGGAACAGAAGCATGAAGGATTTTATTATTAACTTGGATCCTTGGGGTAGAGCCAGGAGCTGGCTCCACAGAGCCAGGGCACTGCTCTACTGCAAGATCCTCCTCAACATATGCCCCGTAGCGGGGGACGGGCTTTGTGCACATGTTCATCTGGCTGGGCTGAGCCTCTGCAGCATTTCAAAACCACTCGCGAGCCCTGCCAGCCCTCAGGAAGCGGCACGCACGGCCTCGGCTGGCAGGAGCCTGCCTCTGGCTTGGCACAGGACCCGCGGGAGGGGTTTTCTCTGCAAGGGGGGCCCTGCCGCAGCCCCCCCCAGTCCTCTGCAAAGCTTTGCTTGCTGGCTGGGCGAGGCTGGGTACCGCTCTCCCCTGGGTGATGCCTGGACACGGCAATGCCCGGACCTCATCCAGGGGAAGAAATGCATCAACCTCCTCCTGCGGCTTGGTTACTGCGGCCATAAAGTGGTCGGGCACTCAGAGCCCTCGTGCACCTGTGTAATCCTGCATCCCCGTGGCTGGAGGGCACTTCCCCCAGCTCCAAGCACCGCAGGAGGAGTGGGGCATTCCCCTGCAGCCCTGGCACGGGACAGCCTCTACGGGAGGCTATGGGCAGACCGGGGGGAAGCGCTCCACAAACCTGCACCCAGCTCTCACACCCACACACCAAGGCTGGGCCGTGCTCAGCTGCCTTCCTGTCTCCAGCATCTAGCCAAATCCTGCTTCTTTAACTATTTTTTTTTTTTTCTTTTTTTTTTCTGTAAGTGCTCTCTTCCCTGGTTGGAACAGAAAACAGGAGCTCAGTGCACAGGAGAGGGTGGTGCTGGGGACCCCAGCCCCAACAGGGAGGGAAAAGCCTGCAAGGCTTCCACTTTACCTGGGATTTTATCAGGCAATTATGGTAGAAAATCTGGAAGGAGATGGACACCAGGGAGGCCAAAACCCTTCCTTTGGTGGGGAGGACCATTCCAGTCCACAAAGGATGCTCGGTGAGGTGTGGCAGAGGCAGCACCGCCACCCTGGTGCCCTGGTGCCCATTGGGGTGAACCATGCCTGCCCCAAAGCCCCGGTACTTGAGCAGCCCCATGCTGAAATCCTGGTTTCCAAATCCTGGTTTCCAAAACCTGGTTTCCATCCTGGGTGCCCAAAGCTCCTCTTGTTGCCACAGGGGCTGCAGGGCCTGGTACCAAGCAGGAGCAAATGTAGCCCCATCCACAACCCGGCTGCGAGGAGCGCACACGTGTGCCGGGCTGAGGGGGGGCTTCGCCGCGGCTCTGGTTCAGGCAGCCCCCTCTCTGCCCCTCCGGAGGAAATGACTCAGGGCTTTTCCACGAAACCACAGGCTGACAGGCTTGCCGCCTGCCTGGCTGCTCCTGCGCACGGAGATCGCTCGCCTGGGGATGTGGGGGGCACCCCCAGGGACAGGGGGTGCTGAGCGCAGCGCTGGCGTGGGGGAAATCCCGAGGGAAAGGGTGATGGTGCTGAAGCAGGAGCTGGGCCTGCTGCCATCCATCTCGTCCCACAGCCGCTCAGAGTCACGGCCTCGGGCAGTGCCACGACTTTTCTGCAAGGGAGCTGAATTTCTGGAATAATGGGACACTGCTGGCAGTGAGAAAATTGGGGGCTGTCCCCATTGTGCCCAGTGCTCCCCAGGAGCAGGGCGCAACCTGTGTTGGGGTGGCACAGAGCCTCGGGGTGTGCAGCTTGCCCTGTCTCCTCCTCTTCCTCTCTCCCACTGTTCCCTGGAGGATGCTGGCACCTGATATGGCTTTGGGACCTGGCTGCTACTTGCCATGAGCCCTGGGAACCAAATTCTTCACTTCCACAAGGTTGCTGCCCAACACCAGCTCCAGGAGCTATGTAGGCCCTACATAAACACACACACACAGTGCTCTCCTGCTCTGAGGGTGCTTCATAAGCCCGGGAAGGCCCCGTCCCCGTGACACCCTCCCTGTCCCCAGCACACGCAGGGAGGCAGCTTCCACTGCTATCTGCACGGCACGGTGCTGGTGCCAGAGGGGAAGCTGCACTCCCTTCCGGGAGATACTTGCAATCTCAGCTGGAAAAAAAAAAAAAAAGGGATCAGGGGTTAGTTCCTGGCCTCACAGAAGCCATGGCAGAGCCTGCTGGCGGGGCCAGCGTGTCAGCCTGCGTGCCAGCGGTCCGGGGGGACGGTCAAGGTGTTTTGTCATCTTACGGTCTCTGGTGAAACCATTGTTTGGAGGCTCCGCAGAGGAAAGAGGATGGACAGAGAGATAAGGCAGCCAGATGGGAGAGGAGAGGTTTGGGTTTGGCACTGGCCAGGATCTGTGAGGCCAGGCTGCATCTCTCTGGCTCTGGGCTGGCTCAGGGACAAGCCGCCCTGCCCATCGGTGCCTGGGCTGTGCTGATCTGCACCCCCGAAACAGGCCCAGAGAGCCTCTGCATCACCAATATTCGTGCCATGGGGCCCTGCAGAGCAGCAGGGAGCTGGAAATCACCACCAGCATCACCCCGGCCATCCGAAGGTGAGGAGACACGGCAAATCCTTTAGTGAAACAGCCTGAAGGCATCCACACATATCTACAGCCAAGACTACGCTGGGGTCAGAGACCAAATCCCAGCAAATCCCAGCACGCCTCCTCCAGCATCTCTCCAACACTGACCACCGGTGGCTGTGCCCACAGTCACCACAGGGCCAAGAGCTCAGACCCCCACGGCGTCGGGGGCTCCCCCGAGCTGCCTGCTCCTGCAGGCCATCCTCCCCATCCCTTGTGGATCTGGGAGCCTGCAAAGATGCTCGGCTCGCACCCATTCCCTCCCCAGTGCCCTGGGGGAGGCGGAGAGGTCCTGGCTCACCTTTGCAGGCCTTGCGGTCCGTGATGGACTTGCTGAGGTCGCGGTAGAAGCCCTCCTTGCAGTAGTGGCAGTGGCGCCCCGCGGTGTTGTGCCGGCAGTTGAGGCAGACCCCTCCGCTCTTCCTCCCCGACAGCTTGTACAGCTCCATGTTGAAGCGGCAGCGCCGCGCGTGCAGGTTGCAGTTGCAGGCTGCAAGGGAAGGGGAGGGTGAGGCAGAGGTGCTGCCAGGCAGGAGGAGCAAACAGCGCCCAAATCCCTGGTGAGGAGGGGGCGGCGGGGCTGACCAAAGCATCGGAGCCCACCAGTCGGGCTGCGGGCCCCCGCTGGGCTCCCCGAGGTGGGGAGCAGGGCAGGCAGGGCTCGGCACAGCCGGCCCCAATGTGCCGGCCAGATGTGCAGCATCCAGTGCCCCACGGGGCCGGGGCTGGGAGGTCAGCGCGGAGACGGGGCACGTGTAGGGACAGCACACGGGGGGAGACTCGGCTGAAGGTGAGATGGAGGGAGGGGTGCCACAGGAAAGAGGGTGTCCAGCAGCACCAGCTGGGCACCTGCAGCCCCGCTGGCTCCTCTTTCTGTCCCTTTTTGGGGCCAGCCCCTCACCAGTAGCCCAGAAGCCACCAGACCACCCTCCTCGTGCCGCGCTGCTGCAGCCCAGCATGGAGCAGTGCCGGGTGCCAGCCCCAGCACCAGCAGCACAGCCCCCAGGCTGCGTTTTTTTAGGGCTCTGCCCTGGGTGCACACACGAAAACACACACAGGATCCCACATAGTGACACGCACAGACACACACACAGGTGTGCACGAGCACAGGCGCACACACGCTCACGTGCACGTGTGCGCACATGCAAATTTGGGCACGTTTTCTCACGTGTGCACACATCCACACTTGCAGCACAAGCACATGCACGAGTGTGCATGCTCACACATGCACATTTTCACATTTGCACACGCACAAACGTCCATGCCCAGATGCTTGCACGTGCCTCCCCCCCGCCCCCACGAGCGCGCTGATGTGAACACACACACACACACACACACACACGTTATTTCTTTCATTAGCCACAGGAACCATGAAGAACCCCCCCTCCCACCCCCCCTGCCCGATTCCACGTGTGTGAGATAAAAAGGAAAAGCAGTGCCAGTTCCTGTTTAACACTCTCACAAAAAGATAATGGGAACAAGATTTCCTTCAGCGAAACGTGGCGCCCGCCCCCAGCCCCCTCCCCGCGCTGGTAAATTGAGGCTGGGTGAGAGTTTTTCCAGGCGTACTGTGAAATTCATTAACATGTCAGCCCAGATTTAACTGCTGGGCCTGCTTGTCGTTTGTGTGAAGTTTCCCCCGCTCACCCCCCCCGGGGCCGCCTGCCCACCACACCGCCGGGAGCACGCTGAGAGCTTCAGCCCGTGCAGATCAAACGGCCGCCGGCCGCCTCGCCCCCCACCCCGCTCGCCCGGCCGGAGACCGTGAAGCAAACCCCAGCCTGGGAGCCCTCTTGGAGGCTTAAAGGACTTGGGCAAAAACCCGTTCCCGGCCTCGGCACAGCCCTGCACCCTCAAACCTCAGCTCCCCCGAGTTACGAGATGAGTGTAAAAATCACGCGGCAAGCACAAAAGCGATGCTTGGGCAAGGCGGAAGGTGCCTTTTGGGGTTTGCGCCTTTTGAGGTCGCTTTTTTTCCCCAGTGCTGGTGGGAAACGGAGACTTTTTGAAGCAAGTTCTCACACGTGGCTGGATGCTGAAGAAAGCAGAACGAAGCTGGGTGGTGGGGGTGCCGCTGGTGTGGGGGGGATGCGGCTGCGCCGGGGATGCAGCTGCGCCAGGGATGCGGCTACGCCAGGGATGTGGCTATACCAGGGATGCGGTGTGCAGAGGAGCAGTTTTGGGGGCGAAGGGGCCTCGTTTTTGCCTTGCTGCACTCCAGGAAGGAAGCGCAGTCGGGTGGCAGCTCTGCTCCCCACCGCGCAGGGTAAGGCCTGTGCCCCCGCCAGGTCCCCGCACCCTCCAGGGAAGCGGAGGGGATGTGAGGGGTGGCAGAAGAGGAAGGTCGGGTAAATGATTCGCCACTCCCTCGTCACGGGTCCCTCTCTGCCCGTTTAATTGGTGATGGAGTAACTGGCCCGGCCTTTCTGTGTCGTGGCTGGCACAGCCAGGGGCTGGCTTGCTGCCCGGCTGCCCTGCTGGCATGTCCCCACCAGCCCCAGGGCCACCACTGGGCAGGGGGGGCCACCAGGAGCTGCCCTGAGGGCACGGGGGTGGCAGGGGTTATGGGGGGGGGGGTCAGGACGGAGATTTGGCTGGGCTTGGCCACACCAGGATGGGGAGGGGGGCACAGCACAGAGCACCCAGCACCGGTCGGAGCAGGCGGGTGCCCCCCATACTCAGCTAAAAACTTGTGCTGTTCCTCAGCGCTGACTCGGTCGCAAGCTCTGTCTGTCTCCTGTTAATCACTAATTAAAGGCTTGAATGTTCCCTGCTGTTTGGGGTATTAATAAGATTTTAATTGCACAGTTTGGGGCTAATTACGTGGTAGTTCGCTTCCGCCCTTGTACAGTATGCCCAATTAAACAATCATATGATCAATTAAACAATCACAAGATCTAATAATTTGCAATAATAGACTAATTAAACGCCAACACCTTGCAATAGAGCAGCCTCCTGTCCTCCTTTTGATGGTTTTGAACCTCTGCCCGGGCCCCAGCCTCCCCTCCACCTCCTCCTCTCCCCAGCGGGAGCCAAGAGCGGAGCCCGGGGTGGGGGGCGCGGGGCTGGGAACGGGGCCGGGGGGCACAGCACGGGCAGCAGGCGCGCGGTGGGTGCTGGTGCCGGGGGGCAGGAGGGGGCCGGCTGCCCCCACGAGCTCCCTGGGAATAATTAGTTCACGGAGCTGGCTCAGCGAAACCCTAGACCGGCCGCCGCTGCCAACCCGCAGCGGATTCGAGCTACGCCCCTGCTTTGGCTGGAGGGGCGCCCAGCCGGGAGGCAAGGCTGCACCTAGCCCCCGGGAGGGGGATCGGGGCCAGGGGAGCCCCCCTCTGCCCTCCCACTGCCCACACGCACAGGGAACAGGGACGGGGACAGGGCTGGGGCTGGGAGAAGCAGCGGGGGAAAGGGCTCGGGGAGGGGGATCAGGGGCTTGTGGCTGGGAGGAGAGGAGGAATCCCAGAGCAGGGAGGGGACGAGGCTGAGCCACCCCAGCCCGTCCCAGGAGCAGGGCACACAGGTGTTGATCCCCTGCACCACAGCTGGACACCTCGTCCCCGCTTGTGGCACCAGTGAGAAACAGCCCAGGCCAGGATCCCCTTAAAAAGGGGATTTATTAGGGGATTTCGCATCGGGAGCACTGAGATAAAAGCAAGAAAGGAAATACACATGGGAAGGGGGCAGAGGAAATGGGTGAAGTGTTGGGGAGCCTGCAAATTCCACCACCACTTTGGAGACTGGCATTTTTGGGGCACGGACATCCCGGACTGATGCCCTCATCCCCCAGCCACGCTGCTGCCTGGCCTGAAGCAAAAGGAGCGAGGTGCTCCCAGGCCTGGGCAGCCCCTTCCCACGGAGCCCCGGATCAAAGCGAGCCCCGAGCATTGTCCCTGTGCTCCGTGGGGTGGATCCTGCTCGTGGAGCAAGGTCTCCCCTTTGTGCCGCGGCACTGACAATGGGAACAAGAGCTCCAGCATTACCAGCGAGTGGATCAATTACTTCCAGTGGCTGCCTTGCACTAATCAGCTCCCCCCTGCCTTGGGGACAGCCTCCTGACCAGGGGACTGGGCTCCTGGTGGCAGCGGGGACCAGGAGCAGGGGGAGGTGGCGCAGCTCTACCAGAGTAACAGCTCTGCGGGCAGCCCACGGGGCCGTGCACCCTGCGGCACGGGGCTGGTGCCTCGCCGTTTGGCCAAGCTGCCACTTTCAGCCTGGCTGTGACATCCCCAAATCCGTTTTCCAAGGTGCCATTCCCCCCTGTAACCACGCGGCACGGCGGCACCCCCCTCCCCACCACCACCACAGTCCCCCCGTGGGGCACTGCCCAGATCTCAGGCTGCGAGGACTGCTCCTCCTCTGCGCTTCCCCGCGCCAGCCACCAGCAGAAATTCCCACGAAATAAGGAAAGCACAACCCACGGGAACCCCGCGGGCTTCCCCAAAACAAGCAGCCACCTGCCTAAACCAGGGGCTACGTCAGCCTCTGTGCAAACTCCCAGGAAAGCAGGGAGGGGTTCTTCTTTTTTGTCCCCAGCCCCAGAGGCGTGCGTGGCCACCCCGGCACCGCAGCGTGGAGCAGGACGGCTCGTCCCCAGCCCAGAGCAACCAGAGGCTCCCGGGCACACAGCCCTCCATCCCTGCCCCTCTGCTGGCTTGGGGCTGCCAGGCTCCAGGCGCACCTTCCTCCTCCTCCTCTTCCTCCTCTTCCTCCTCCTTCTTGTCCTCCTCGTCCCCTCCTCGGCCAGGCGCGACCTTCGGCACCGCGGGGCTGGGGCGCGGGACGGAGTCAGAAACCCCGCGGTCTGGGCCGAGCAAAGGGAACTTCCCGGGCGGCCTCTCCTTTTAATTGGTGCTAATTGCTGCGTCTGTTCGTGCTGGCTGGGGAGATGTCATTGTTGAAAGGCACAGAGGGGAAGGCTCGGGGAGCTAATCCAGCTTTCAGCCGCTAAGCCCTTCGGAGGCGTGTGATGGAGAAGCTCTTTCAGGTCCCTTCAGAGAGGGCACAAAGCCCGAGAGGGGAAAGGGAGAAAGAAGGGGATCGAATCAACAGGAAAAAACACTTTCACACGCAGCTTGGCTACGGGCCTTTGTGTGTGGGGCTTGTCAGGGTGTCTTGAAGGGACCGCTCTGCGCCCCCACCTCCTCCCTGCCTTTCTTTTCTCTCCTTCAATTATCTTTTCAGCCCCATCTGCCAAAACGGTGACCTGGCTGGGGGCGGGGAGGGCTGCAGCCGGGATGTGCAGGAGCAAGGCCTCACACGGGACCCCCTGCCCCGGCCAAGGATGCCGGGAGCTTCTCTAGCACCCCCCCAGCCCCAGATCCTTCCCCCGGGTCTCAGGCCGGGATCTGCTCCAGTTTAACCCCCCCCGGAGCTGGCAGAGCCTCCTCGGCTCGGCTGCGTCACTCGAACAGAGGACACGGTGCCAAAGATGTGCTCCAGGATCCCAAAACTCCGGACATCGGGGTCAGGGCTGGGGTCCTGCTTTTGGCCCCCACCTGAGCCATCCCCAGCCACACCTACAGGCACTGGGAGCAGGGTGAGGAGCAGAGGCAGTTTCCAATTTTTGCTCCAAAACTCGTCTTTCTGAGACAAACGGGGAAGCGCCGGAGCTGACACATTCCCACAGGGCACGAGGTGTTTTTAAAGCATCAGCTCGGCCACTTCATTTGCATCGAGTGCCTTTTTAGCCATTCTCAGAAGAAATCCTCTGCAACCCAGATATATTTAAGCCGACAGCTGGGATCTCAACAAGACATCGATCACAAATACTAACAAGTCCCTCTGACCTCTGGCACATCCAGTGAGCCTTTCAGGGGCTGATTGATGGGATGGCTTCCCTTGTCTCCATCCTCCTGCCACCCCCTGGGACCTGGGCTCTGGTCCAGGCAGAGTGAGAGGTTGTTCCCCCTCTCCCAGAGCTTTGCAGGGCTCTGGCATCCCTCACCCTGCACAGATCAGGACAAAAGGCAAAAGCCTCCACAGAAATCCTATAGAAAAAGATTCGAGAGCGGGGCAGGAAGACAATGTGGGTTCAATACTTGTGAAAAGTTTCTGTAGATTACAAGTGCCTTTGACTCACACAAACCTTTTTAAGAAGAGATGAGCTAAAACCACTGCGCACTGCACCGTGCCAGACCGAGCGAGAGGGATAACAGGCTGAAATGGGGTAGCTCAGACATTTCCTTAACCCCTGCTGGTTGGAGAAACCCAGCTGCTGCCTGCTCCCAGCCCAATGCAGGTGACCTCCGTGCTTCCCCTGGGGACGAGCAGCTCGCTGCCCAAGGCAAACACCCCTTGCCGACACAGCTCGGCACGCTGCACGGTCCCCGTGTGTGCCAAAAAAGCACCACGGTGCCTTTGGAGGGTTTGGGTGCAGGTAGCCAAGCAGCAGAGCAGAGGAAGCAGAGGCTCAAAACCCATGCCAGGCACTCATGCTCAGCCCCACGGCCACATCCCTTGGGTGCTCAGGGGTCCCAGCCCTGGGGAAGGTGGGCGCAGCGCGGTGGCGACGGTGATGGTGGGGGTCACTTACCCAGACACTCGTTGGCCTCACGGGCGCTGGCCCGCTGCCAGGGCCGGTCGTAGTGGAAGGGCTTGCAGCGGTCGCACTCGGGCCCCTCCGTGTTGTGCTTGCAGTCGCACACCAGCTTCTGCTCCTTGTCCTTGACGCAGCGCGAGGCGTGCCCGTTGCACTTGCAGCGCCCGCCGACCTGCAGCTCGCCCACCGCGTAGTAATAGGGGGCCGCACCGGTGCCCCCCTCCTCCTCGCCAGCCTCGCGCCCCCCCAGCTCCCGGAATTGGTGGGGGCGGCTGAAAACCACCCTGATGTCGGTGGCCGTCACCCAGTCCTGCAGCACGGGGCTGCTGTCGAAGTCCTGGGCCGAGGGCCGCCCGTCCAGGGTGCTGAAGGCGATGAGCCCCCCGGTGAGCGGGTAGAGGTCGGTGAGGCCGTCGGTGCAGAGGGCCTCCTGCTCGTTCTGCTTGGTGACGGTGGCTTTGCTGGGCTTGCCGTAGATCTTGCGGCACTGGGAGGAGTAGTACTGGTAGGGCACCCACGTCTTGCCGTAGTCCATTGACTTGAAGATAGCGGTGGACTCGGGCCGGGGCGAGCAGAACTGGAGGCTGACGTAGACCACCTCGAACTTCTTGCCGAGGGAGAGGGTGAGGGTGACGTTGTGGGGCGAGTGGTGCAGGGTCTCGGAGCGCCAGCACGTCATGTTGGAGGCGGTGTTGAGGTCGGTCAGGTAGGCGGGCGGGTGGGCTTTGCGGGGGTCGGAGGCGTTGCAGTGCCGCGTCGGGGGCTTCCCGCAGGTGCTAGAGGCGTGCACCTCCTTCCCGAAGGCTGCGTTGACAAACTCGGGGATGCAGCGGCGAGGAGCTCCGCTCTCGTCGTAGCAGGGGTCCGGGGGGGTCTGCTGGGCCACGAACGGATTCACCGCCTGGGAGAGGCGCAGCACGCTGGTGGTGAGGAGCAGGCGCAGGAGCTGCAGGACCTCCATCCTCCCGGGGCCAGGGGAGCGGCTCCTCCCTGGGATGAGAGCACACAGAGTGAATCGCAACCCGGTGCAGGGGGCTGGGGATGTGCCTGGCACCCAGGCCCCTCGACTTGTGCCCATTCCCACCCCGTGCTGACCCACGGGGCACCTGGGGAGTGGGGCAGGGAGGTGGTTAGCTCGTGGTGCCATATTTACAGCATCAGAATGAGGAGGACAACACCGGTTTCCAGACCTTCCCTGTAGGAACACCTCCCACATCTCAGTTGGGGTGGGGATGTTCACACCTGCCTGTGGCTATCAGGCTTTCATGCACGGCCCCGAATGCACAAGGTGATGCCCCCGAGCTGCAGCAGATCGACTCCGACAGCAGGACCATGGAGATGGGAATTAGCCCCGCGACGCTGTCGCAGCTGGCTGAGGCCACAACCCTACACCTCTTTGCCTTCCTGTGACCCTGCAGCATCAGGCGTCTCTCTTGCCTCTGACCCTGAGAGGTCTACGAGCCAGTAGCCCTCCAAATCACACCACCACACATCCACAGCTTTCCCACCGGCAAGAGGTCACTCTTGCTGCCTCTGCCCCACAGGAACTGCCCTCTCCGTGGCACGGTCAGGGGAAGACACCCCTCATCCCCAAAACCCCTCAGCACAGCACTGCAGGGCCGGGTGGTCTGCGTTGTGCCAAACTGTTAACGGGGGATCCTCCTCCCTGCCCCACCTGGCTGCCAGTGCCCAATGCCCAGCTCCAAGCTGGCCAGAGGGAGCAGGGAAGGCGATGGCACCCCTGAGACCTCCCCGGCACAGCCAGCCCTGCGCTCTGCTCCCCCCGCTGCTGCTGGCAGGGGAGGTTTCTGCTGCCAAAAATCAGCAGCTGCCTTTGTGGCCTGCATCTCCCCAGCAGCCACATCCTCTGTGCTCGGTGGCCAGGCACCCAGCAGAGTGCTTGACAAGGGATACTGTCCCCAGGGTGCCCAGGGTACGGGGAACCCCCTGCTCCAAAAGCGAATGTGGGCGAGTGCTGTGGGAGCAGAGTTGGGCGTGGGGGCCCCTTCCCGAAAGGTGATTCTTAAACCATGCCCGAGACCATGCCCAAAGGCAGGTTCCCGTGGGCAGCAGGGACGTGGCTGTCACTGCAGTGGACGCACTGTGCCACCCGGTGTGCTGCAAGCACTGCTGCACCGCGCTGCAGCCGGGGGGTACGCCTCTCACCCCAAACCCTCTCCTCCCCGAGCAGACTGCGATGAGAACACGACCCAGTGTCAGCACCCCGACCCAGTGCTATCCACCAGCAGCTCCTGTCCAGGGGGCATCCCTGCAGCCTGCAGCACACCTGCAGTGCCCGGTGAGCAGGGTCCGGGGAGTGGTGACACCAGGAGACTGAGGACCTGCACACAGCAGGGACAGAAACGGAGCAGGGGTGGCACTGCCAGCGCCTCACCGCCTTCAGCCAGGTTTGCACCACGCATGGCAGGTGAGCACCATTGTGTGCTCAGGCTTCCACAAAAACACCTTTCCAATCAGGGCATAAAGACCAGAACTCCCCCGGAGGTTCAAAACCAACTATTTCCCCATGCAGACGTAACAGCTTGGTGTTACAGAGGGACACCCTGGGGGAAAAGCTCGGAGCAGAGGGCAGAGAGCAGAAAGCCCTGGTGGTGACGGTGCCCCAGCAGCCAGGAGGTGCATCCAGCTCTGGGCAGCTCTGGTGGCACCCTCCGGACCCTGCCCAGGGACGTCTCCTCCACCCGCAGCCGCATCCTGCTCGGCGCCCCCAGATGCAGCCTGAAAATGCTGAGAAACCACCCAAACCCTCCAGCGTGTAATAAGCACGCTGTCGGCTGGGATCCGGCAGCAGAAGCTGTGGGAATCAACCCAAAGGCTGCTGCTGGGAGGAGGCCAGCCACGGACACGGCTCTGCTGCTGCCGGCGGGGGCCGGGCCCCCTTCCCCTCCCGTCCTGCGCCCCCGCACCGACGGCAGCCAGGGGACGAGGCGGAGGCGCTCAGCCTCAGGGCTGGGTTAGCTCTGCCCTTGGGGCGCATCGGGGGCGCATCTGGGGGATGGGAGATCATCCTGCACTGCCTCCCTGCCTCCGACACCCATGGGGAGAGGCTTTCCCTCCCGTGCTCCGTGGTTTGGTGCCCAAATTTTGGGGCTCGGCTGGGGAGGAGCCGCTCGGGAGCCAAGGCTCCGGCGTTTGCCGAGTGGCGTGTCGGCGCTGCGGAGGCACCGCGTGAATGGAAATCATTATCATCCTCGAGACCACACACATGCACACACACGCTCCGTGCACAGCTCACCCCATTATCCTGCTGAAAGGGAGCCGGGGCCGGTGGTCTCCGCGGGCCTCACCTCCGTATCGGAGAGGAGGGCAGCTGCAATCTGCTCCCTTTTATGCATATTCAGCGTGACCCCTGGGCTGCCGGCAAGCTGCCAGGGAGGCCCGGCGGTGGGTATTTCTCTCCCAGCCCCACCTGCCCCCCTTCCAGTCCCCATCTTCAGTGCCTCCAGTCCGAACCAAGTGGAGACACCGCTCCCTGAGCGAGGGAGAAGGCGCTGAGCCAGCCCCAGGCACGTCAGCAGCACCAATGACCCCGCGCCGGATCCACGGTATCCGACTCCAGACCCCAAGGCAAGGGTGCCCTGCGGGTCAGGGTGCCCTGGCATCTTCCAGCCGGGCTGTGACAGCAAGGCCGTGGCTGGTGGCCACCAGCTCAGGGCCACTGCCGTGTGCTGGCAGGAGCGCAGCGGCGCAGGGCTCGCCCTCCCCGAGGAAGCGGCCGCCACCCCAGCTGCCGCCGCCGCGCTCCTCCCCAGCAGCGGCTGCATTTTTGAGGTGGGCGATTTCCTCACTTCTCTGTTTGGGGAATGCTAATAGCCGTGCGGTTTGGAAGGAAGTCCCGATGCCTTAACACTCAGAAGTGCTTTGCGCTTTAAAAATTAGCTACTACGCACAGCACCTCCGCACCCTTTCTCCCCGGAGCAGCCGCCTCTGGAGGTGCTGGCGGCGGCTCGCTGCCACCCCAGCCCTGCCAGGGGCTCCCTGGGGTGCTGCTGCCACCCCCCCAGGAGGCACCACGCCACCATCCGTACTGTGTTCGGGTGCAGACATGAGCTCTCAGTGCCCATCGGTCCTGTTTGAAAGACCTAACACCCCAAGGCAGGTGCAGCAGGTGAGCCAAGACAGGAGGAGCAAACCTCCCCAAAACCCCAACCCCGGTGCCTGCCCCAGGCCCGGGGTCAGCGCGGAGCAGCGCAGGGCAGCGGCAGCTTTGCGGAGGTAATTACGGGATTAAGTGGAACAGCACGGGGAGGGGAGGGAAAGGGGTTATTAGTCAGATTTGATCCCGGGACCTTTGCGGCACTAGAACAGCCTTCTCCAATTAAAGCAGCGGGGGAAACCCCGAGCGGCCCGAGTGATGGCCGGCCGCACGCTGCAGCCCGGCCACCGCAGCGGGCCACAGCGTGTCCCTCGCAAATCCCCTCGGGGCTGCGTTGGAGGCCTGAGTCATGCGCTGAAAAATGTGGCTTCAGCGAGGGAGGGCTGTCCCCGTGGGCCACGAGCACGGTGCTGGGCTCAGCCAGCCCTCCTGGGGAGAGCGTGAGCCTTGGTTTGGTCAGGGGATGCTCGGTCCCTCCCGGGTGCAGCTTCATCCCACATGGGGGGCGATCCTGGGTGGCAGCATTGAAAGCATCCCCGTGGTGGGACACGGCCACGGAGCAGGGGGCAGGAGGGCAGGAGACACCTTCCAAGGGACCCGAGCAGATGAGGGGGATCCAGCTCCATGAGGATGTAGGGGCTCGATCCAAAGGATTCAGATAGGGCCAACCCACATGGCCAGCTCATCCCAGAGCTGTGCTGGCCTGGGCAAAGCCCCGACAAAGCTGAGCTGCCTAGCTCAGGTTCCTGCAGAGCGGACAACTGATGTGCTCAGACAGCACTCAGGAAAGCTGTAAATGGGCACAAATCACCAGGGCGCATCCCTTAACCGGGATGGAGCTGCTACCAGCACTTGTGCTTTGCCACCTCGTTACGAGCCCCTGCTGACGACAGCATCCCCAGTCCCTGGCTGTGGGGCAGCCCTACAGAGGGGCTGCCCCAACCCCACAGCCAGGGGAGCCTGCCAGGCCCCCAGGCTCCTCGCCCACCCCTCCGTGCCCACCCGCCGAGCCGGTGCCAGCTGGGGGGCTTTGGGCCCTCCCAACGAGAGGAATGCGTCAGGACCAAACCGGGCTCTGGACACGGATAAATCGTTCCATGTGTCGCTGGGCTGAAAACACAACCGAGAAATATTTAAAATGAAAGGAAAAACCCCACGCAGCCAAGGCGCTGGGACTGAGCTCGGCTTTCCGGCAGGAAGGAACGAGGCGGAGGCGAGCGTGTGGCGCAGGGGAGAGGCCGGGGACGCGGGCGCTGGGGTGGCAGCGGCGGAGCCGTCGCGCTCCCAGCCCGCACCAGACACGGCCAAAAGCTCCTGAGCAGCCCTCACGGCGCTGCAGAGGTCCCCGTGTTCCCTTCCGAGCCCCTTCTCCGTCCATTTCTCAGTTCAGCATCAGGAGGCTGTAAACGCGTGGGTGCCCACATCTGCTCTCGCTCGGGGAGCCGGGCGCTCTGCGCGGCCCCTCGGGCTTTCGGCCTCTGCTCCGCAAAGTATGTGCGACTCGTGGGCAATTACGAGGCGGCGTGTTCCCGAGGCAGGCACTCACGGTGATAGATATTGCAATGCACTCTGGCAGGCCGGAGAGAGCATTACACAAGCCATATGATACTCCAGCGGTGCCAGGAGACGCATACAAATTACACTGCATGCAGGAAAGGATGGGCCAGATTCTGACCTCAGCCCCTCTGGCATCAGACAGAAGCAGCTCCATTCAGACCAGGCCAAACAAGACGTAAGCGACTCCATTCAAATTTACACTGGCATACCTGTGGTCAGCATCTGGCCTGGCTTGAATTAACTTCGGCCTGACATTACAAAAGGGTGAAACGGAGCCCAGATTTCCTAGGTTATCGAAAACAAAAAGAGAAATCCACCCAGAACCAAACCGTGGCGAGGCCGCTCAGACGTGTGCGTGAAGTTGTCAAAGACGGGATGCTCGGGCGCGTCACCCGCTCCTGCTCTGGTAGCTTCCCCCTGGGAGGACGGGACGGGGCTGTGCAAAGCACCGCAGCCTCCCTGGGGTGCCCTGAGCCAGCCCCGCTCCCCGACAGCCCCGAGCAGAGCCGCCGCTCTCCCCAGCAGCGAGCTTTACGCACAGCAGTGTCCACACACCATGGAGCTGAGCCCATCTCGCTGTCACATTTGGTTTGTTGCACTGCCGGGTGAGGGCTTCCCAACAGAGATCTCCTCCTCTCCCGACACAATGGATCCAGGATGTCCTCAGCCTTGCAGGAGCAAAAAGCTGCCTCGACGCTGCCCCATTGGATAACCCCCGCCACTACTCGGCTGGTTGCTTTCCGTGGCCCTAATCCCATCCCATCCCAGCCCCCGAGCTCCCTTGCACATTCCTGCCGTGCCGCTCGCTCCGTCACGAGCTGCCGGGAGAGCCCTCGGTGGGCAGGGGCTGCCCCCCGCTGCGCCCAGCGGGGGCACGGGACCGGCGGCCCCATCGCAGAACCCTTCGTGGCTTCTGCCCCTTCCCGCTCCATATGGGAATAAAGCGATCTGGTTTCCATAACGTCCCTTGTTGCCTTTTCATAACATGCCGGGCACAGATGTTGAAAATAGTCTGGATGAATATTTAAAATGGTATTCAGAGATGACAACATTTGGCCAGCTTTGAAAGATCTCTCACATCGGGTACGGGATGGCTCACGACAACGGGGCCGGAAACACACTGCACTCTAACATCTCGTTTTTTCTCCCTGGCTATTGGGACAATATTTCATGCCCCTGGTGTCACACAGCCTGTTACTGCTTGAGTGCCAGCCAAGTCTGCAGCATTTGGAAGAGGCTGTCACGTACGTTTTTAACATCACGGGGCAAAGCGGAATATGGAAAATCTGTCGCATTTCCATACCGAGCGCAAGTGTCCTGCGCAGGCTCGGGGAGGGGCTCATGGGGGCACAAAATAATTGCTTCCTTATGGAGCAGGGCCTGGCTAAGAGGGTGGGGGAACAGGAGATGGGGGTGCTGCGAGCACCCTCGGCGCAGTTGGCTGCTTCTTTGGCAGAGGAAGACGGAGCCATTCCGGCACACGAGCACGTGTCCCAGGGCCTGCACTGCTGCTCGCCTCCTCCTGGGGACCCTGCTCTGCCCCGTACCTCCTCCGCCTGCTGCCCAAAAGGGGCCTCGGCAGCAGGCCCTGGCCCAAACCTCAGGTGCCAGTGCTCTGGGGGCAGCACCAGTGCTGCTTGGCTCGGGCTCTGGAGCCTCCTGACTTTCTGCAGGGCTCCTCGTCGCAGGCCACGGCGCACTCAGCTGCATCCCTGGGCCTGGATCCTTCTCTCGCAGGCTGCAAACTCACCTTGGCTGCTTCCAAAGCCAGCACTGCACCTGTCCTCTCCTTGACAGAGACCTACCTCGCCTTCCTCCTCCTGCTTGCGCCCACCAGCACCTCTGCCGTGGGGCTGGGACCCCTGCAGCCCACCGTGCACCCAGCACCGGGACTGCAGGACCTCCTGTCCCCTCGCCAGCTCGCTCCACCGGGCGGTCAGAAAAGCACAGCAGCTCCCTCTGTTTTATAGAGGGAATACTGCAGAAAATAAAGGTGCCCACCATCCAACCAGCCACCTTGAAGGGAATGTTTGAAGCACGGCTCAGGCCACTTCCCCACTGCACTGCTTACAGGGCACGCCGATCCCTCGGAGAGCGGGAGGCTTTGTGGGTTGTGGGGGAGCAGAAGGACGGGTGTCACCTCCAGCCGTCCGGGGTTTGCATGTCCAGGTCTGGCCTTGGTGTCATCTGAGCCCGGCTACGGGTCCCACAGCCTGGCTCTTGTCTCATCTACTGCTTGGGCACATCCCCAGCTGAATGCACACACAGGCACTGCCCCACTGTGCCGCAGGACGTCCGTGTTGCCCCTGCTCCTGCCCAGGGCCTTCCTCACCCACCCAGCTCTCCATGCTGAGAGCCGGGCTGTGGGGGACTGCTGAGCACCACGTCCCGCAGCACGGCACTTGGTCCTTCCCCCCCGTAAAGGTATTTCCATCCGCCCACTCTCCGGCGGGGAAGCCAGGGGAGGGACAGAATTTTGAAGAAACGAGGTTTCAGCAGGATTTCCGAGGCAGAAAGGCAAACCCACCAAACGCAGCCGGGCTTCCCATCCCCTCTCCCTGCCCCACGTCCCGCTCACACACCAGCCACGGTGCGGGGGTGCCCAGGGGGGTCTCACGCAGCCTGGGGTGCCCTCAAAGCGATGGGGCTGAGCGGGGGGAGCGCTCCCTGGGGGGAAGCCCCCCTCCCGCACAGGGGTGCCCCGGAGGTGGCCGCACTGGGATGGGGCAGAGCCGAGGTGCGGGGCCGCCTGGTGCCTGCCCCGTGCGCCCCCCACCCCGGGGCTGGCACCTCGGCAGCCTGGCTCGGCTGAGCCCCCC